CTGGAAAGTGACCTGAGATGACATGATGTGAATTTGGCGATATAGAAATAAACTGAATAGAATTGAAAATTGTATTTCATAGATAGCGGTTAGCTCTGCTTCCTGCTGTTTAATGATTATTCAGGTTCTTCGTCGCGGTTTCCGTGTCCTCCTCTGTCAGCACTAGCTTTAGCATCGCGTTTTAACCTCCGGTTTACATTAAAATGTAAGAAATTAGGCTTTGGTGGTTGTATTTGGGGCGCTTACCTGTCTAATTTGTGCTGTTTTCGGGTTCCTGCGGATCACGTGACCGCTCTGCTGTTAGCTAGAGCTTGTTAGCATAAGCTAACAGTTTCTCCTGCTTCCGCCGGAGCTAACGCCAGCTAGCGGCTTCCTAATTCCCTCGCGCTGACTTCTTCATCTCCAGCACAGCTTCGGTCAGAGTCCAGAACCGGTTAGAAATAAAATATCTCATAAATACACCAGCTTGGATCAAACAGACAGCGATCAACCGTTTCCAGCTGTTGTTATGAATCCGGGTCACAACGGAAGGAGGGGCACAGCAGCGCCATCTGTTGGTCAACCATGAGAATTTGGATTCGTAGTGTGGATGGATATCTATGGTGTGGAATAACAGATATTCGTAAACAGAAAATCTGACTGGTATATAAAAAAGGTATTTTATTTGAAACGGACTAAATGGACAGTAATGGTGTTTTCCTAAATCATAGAGATTTAACCAACAAATTTCATCTTTTCTGTAATGAATATCTAAAAGTACTCAAAGCTCATCCAAAACACCTTAAGATATTCAAACGTTACTGCATCTTTACCTAAATTGAAAACCAGAGAATATTTTGTGACTGATAAAAAAATGTAATAATGCTATGCTGGTGATTTCAAATATACATTATTTCCTGATTACTATAATAGTTTTTTGACAACAACTAATTTGCCCTTATTTGAGAAGGCATTCTCTAATTATGTTAAATGGCCGCTTTCACCAAAGGTTAAAGAGACTCACTTAAAAATCTCTTACAATATTTACCCAGTGGCTGAATTTTTGCACAAAAGATTTAAATTTGATTTAACATGCTGTGCGTTTTGTGAATGTGCGGATTAATCCCTTAATCATCTCTTTTTTTCTTGTCCCTTTTGTTTTAAACTGTGGAGAGACATAAAAAATTGGTTGTCCCTTAAAATTGAGGACATCCAAGAAGTAACAATCACCCACATGATAAAGTAAAAAAAATAAATAAATATATATATATATATATATATATGAATTAAAAACGATTAACACATTTCGGAGTGATTTTTTTTCTAAGGAAAAGACTTTAAAGAGCTATAAAACTGGGGGGAAATCTAGTTGGAAAAAAAACATTTGGAAAAAAACAAACTTTCAAAATATTGGTACAACTTTAAAAAAAAAAAAAAAAA